ATGTTGCCATGGTTTATAGATTCTAGCCTTTTCTTCCGTAGATAGGGGAATGAAAATGGTTGGGTCAGTGGGAGCCTCCATTTCATCATTAAACACCATAAAGTGGTGTAGCGCAGCACTTAGGTTAGATGTTTATGGTGTAATATCATTGGAAAACAAGGTAGAGAGGTATGATTTGTTGGCAGCTTGGGTTGGAGTTCCCAACTTATCAGTTGTATCAATATTCATACCGTTCTCTGAGTTGATGGAGGAAGAGTTTTGCAGTGTTTTGGATGATGTTGGAGCTGAATTCATGTGTATGTCAGGTGGTTGGGTGGAATCGGAGATGAAGATACATATGGTGGAGAGGTCATTGTTGCCTACTACTTCTTGCATTTATAAAAAACAAAAAAAAGGAAAGAGCACCTCAAATCCAGCGGCAATCATGTTGAGAGCCAGAAAAGTATGAAAAGGCAAAAGTAAAAATTTTACAAAACTGTAATACCAAAAGCTCCGGTGATAATTGCTACGTTGACTCACACACTTGGCCTAGCAGGGAAATGACACGAGAGCTGCTTAACTCTCACTTATAGAATAGTAGAATATGTATTTTTAGAACTTGAGTATGTATTTTTAGAACTTGAGAGCTTAGATATATGTAATTTTTAGAACTTGAGAGCTTAGATATATGTAATTTTTAGAACTTGGGACCTTACCTTGCACTTTAGCAGTTAGGTGATGGAATTTTATCTGTTTTCTCGATCTATGGAAAATATGTAGATCTGACCACAAGTCCCATGAATGGTGAGGCATCTATATTCAGTAGTTTGTAATAAAAGTCGACACCTGGTTATGTCTATTCAGTTTTGATTAATTTTCTTTGGAGCAACACATGTATTTGTAAAATGCATGTTTGCTCCAAAAAGGTGGTTCTGCATAGAAAACTTGTTAAAAAAGAATATTGGTTTGGTAACTCTTAGTCACTACATTGCTTTATAATCCAAGATAAAAGATAGATAGTCGTAAAGTTTGTGACATTATATATAGTTATTCAGAACTTAAAACATGTAAAGGAGGCTAGGGTACAATTATGAGAAATTTTCATAAAGCACTATCTTTTAGTAGTAATTAACTATCTATAGATATCATTTACTATATTACGGATTGTAGATACGTTTTCTGTTGTTATAAGATGTATTAGATGTATTTAAGCTAATGTATTCATGAATACAGTAGCAAAAATAGGCGTGAATCAAGGAAGTCCAGCTAATCAATTGTTGTATTCGAGTGTATTCGACTGTATTCATGACGTGAAACATGAGATTACAGCTGGACAGATTATTGTAGTCGACTGTATTCACAGCGTGAAATAGGGGATTACACTATTTTTAAACGGAAAGTAAATCAATTAACATAATAGACTCATAATATAACTCAACAAACTCAATTATAACACACAATTTTTGTATTTTCAGTTGTAAAAAAGATTTTCAACCGAAAAATACCCCAAAAATATAACAATCTTCAGAGAAATTATATAATACATCTAAATACATAAATTATATTAATTAAAAAAAATATATGAATACATTCATGGCATATAGAGAGCCAGTGAATACAATGAAATACATAGAATACAACAGGATACATTGAAATACAATGAAAAAAAGACCGTGAATACAATAAAATACATGGAATACAGCGAGATACATTGAATTACAATGAAGAAAAAGACAATGAATACAATGAAATACATGAAAATACAGCGTGATACGTTGAAAATACATTGAAATATATTAAAAGAAAATCAAGTTGCTCAGCCCCAAACTTCGTCGTCAACAAACCTTAATTTCTGGCGAATTCGCCGTAGAGCAAAAACCCCGAATCTCACTGTTCCGACGCATCCTGTACAGTAGCGGAGCAAAAATCATGGCAAGATAATAATGAGTTCTAGTGGTAGAATAAAGACTCTGTTAAAACTTGAATCTTGTATTGAAGATGAGGGAAGTTGAGAAAGGTTCGTGGGCTTGCTATGTTGTGCGCGTCGATCAGAGGCTTCATCTCCTTTGGATTCCATTTCGGTTGCACAAATTTTAGGGGAAAGGTCAGAGAAGTCTTCGTGGTATTCCAGGCAAAATCATCGTTTGTGACTAATGGTAGGTGATGTGGGTGAGAAGAATTTTGAGATTGAACATCGTGTTTTCAGGGAATGGGGGAAGAGAATGACATGTATCAAAATTAATAAGTAGGTAAAGGTAATTAGTTTAATTTTTATGGGTAAATCTATAAAACTCCCTTTAAACACCACGCGCAGTTAAACATGTTCGCAGAAGGACCTTGTACCAAACCCAAGTTCGTATTAGTGGGCTCGATGAGACACAACCCGAATTAAGCCCAAATGCGAACAACCCTTTTCTTCCTCGTTGAACAACACAAATTTTAGTAAGATAGATTGTAGAGAAATTTTCACAAACCACTATTGTTTAGTGGTTGTAGCTACCATTTACTATATTACTTCCTATAGTTATGTTTCAGGTTTTTTAGAGTGTATTCGATGTATTTAAGTTACTGTATTCATGAATACAGTAGCATTTCTCGGCGTAAAATATGGGATTACAGCTAGACAAATTATTGTATTCGACTGTATTCAAGGCGTGAAACAGGGGATTACAGCTAGACAGGTTATTGTATTCGACTGTATTCACGATATGTATTTGTGAATACAGTACGTAAATAGTGCAATTCATGGTCTATTCAGTTGTTTTTAAACGGAAAGTGAATCAATTAACACAATAGACTCCTAATATAACTCAAACTCAATTATAACACACAAAATTTGTATTTTCAGTTATAAAAAAGATTCTCAATCTAAAAACACCCCAAAAACATAGCAATCTTCAGAGAAATTATATAATTACATTGAATATAGTTAAATACATAAAAATACATTGAATACATGAAGTATAACATGTCATATATAGTGCAAAAACATATGAATACGTACTGCATATACATTTGGATACATATATACATCTGAATACATAAATTATATTAATTACAAAAAACACATGAATATATTCATGGAATATAACGAGACAGTGAATACAATAAAATACATGGAATACATCAAGATACATTGAAATACAATTAAAAAAAAAGACAATGAATACAATGAAATACATAGAATACAATGAGATACATTGAAATACAATGAAAAAAGGTAACAGACTCTTCAAGTTGCTCAGCCCCAAACTCCGCTGTCTTTATTCAAGAACAACCCTAATATAGTCTCGTCAAGAGGGCCGCGATTCTTACTAGAAACTCTCAAAATTTGGCGCAAAAATAAAAGAAATTCCTTATTTTCAATAGCATGTTGTCTTTTTTTATTAGTAATTGCGAATTTGGTAGATGAAGAAAAACAACAATGGAAGGTTGCAGTGGCCATGTCTAGATTGAGAAGTCAAAAAGCCAATTTACCTTGTCAATTTGGGACCAAAAAAAAAAACCTCCACTTATTCGAGACACAGGCAATACAAGTGTATCAAAGTCTATCACAAGTTCGATAGCTAATAATCCAATTATTATCCAGATACCAAGCCAGAGGACACTGGGTTCCGAACACAAAGTACTAAGAAACATTCTGAACCAAACTATTAGAACTCCAACAAAATCCAAAACTGAATCGATCATGAAGTAATATTCCACTGACAATGAAAATTTCGCGAGACAATAGAGATGAATTATTGGAGAATAGTGGTTGTATTCATGGAGAAAGATTTGGGTGTAATTCAAAAATAGTCAGATTTACAACTGATCGTTCAAAAATAACGCAGTTTCAAAAGTAATCGAAATTTAGCCACTTTTCATGTAAGATAAATCTGAGCGAAAACACTATTCAAAACCCGGAAAATACATCAGTATATTATGCTCGAGTTCCAGCATAAGTATACTTGAACTCCAGCATATTATACTGGAGTTCCAGGATAAGTATGTTGGAAAGCCAGCATAATATGATGCAGTTCCAGCATAAGTATACTTGAACTCCAGCATATTATACTGGAGTTCCAGGATAAGTATGTTGGAAAGCCAGCATAATATGATGCAGTTCCAGCATAAGTACACTAGAACTCCAGCATAATATACTGGAGTTCCTGCAAGTATACCAGTTCAGCATAATATACTGGAGTTTGGAGCACCAGTGCTCCAATCTCCAGTATATTATACTGGAGCCAACAAAGTATACCGGTCCAGCATAATATGCTGGAGTTCATACACAGGTGCACCGAACTCCAGTATATTATGCTGTACCGGTCTCTGTTGCAGCAAAATAGTAGTTATTTTTCATTGACTTGGTAAACACTCGCTATTTTTGAATGACCAATCCAAAAACTGGCTATACCGTGCTATTTTTACGAAAGATTGGGGTTTAGAGAGAGAGGGTAGAGAAAAATCATAAAGAATGAGAGAGAAAAATCAGAAAGAATGAGAGAGAAAAATAATACAAAGAGTATTTTATGGCTTAAAGGTAGGAAATAACATTAAATAGATATTTGACTATAAAAATCAAAAGGTCGCTATGAAATATAATTTTTAAAAAGAGTTTAAAATAAATAAGATATCAAACTTTGCTACATGAGTAAAAATTCCTGCAATTATTACTGGAAAATTATTGAACATACACATGCTGGGTCAGTAATAAGGTGATTGGTCTGTCTACTGTGTTTTCATAGCCCTTCTGTCTAAAAAGGGGAAAAGGCAATAACAAAATTGAGCCAATCACCTTCAGTGATGCAAGTAAAACGCCTGTGCTAAGTGTCAGGGAGAAATTCAAAAAATATACTAAGTGTTTTTTCGGATTTTAAATAGTGTTTTCGTTCAGATTTATTTTTAGATGAAAAGTGGCTAAATTTCGATTACTTTTGAAATTATGACTATTTTTGAATGACCACTTATAAATCTGACTATTTTTGAATTTCTCCCTGTGTCAACAATGCAAAACTAATCTAATACTCATATTAAAATTGATAATCCAATTCAGTGGTGGGTGGACCTCCGTTAAAAAAATTATTAGTCGTATTGTTATAAGAAAACGAATAACAACACAAAACCGAACTATTAACTAAATCTGCAAGATTTTCTATACACAAGACATAGTGGATATGGATTCTTTAAAAATCGTCTTTATCTGTTTGGTTTCAAAAATTTTCTTTATGGAAATCAAACTTTGTAGATGTCTTGCGGGAAAAATCCAAGGCTAGCTGTCTTAGCTCTTTCGTCAGTGCTGGTGCCCCACAGTAGAAAACCCCTGCAAAATTTCCAAGAGAAAATAGGTTATCTGGTGTGTGATTGAAAATAATTCCTATAGTGAGTGCCAATTGTTTTCAGAAAGAAAAGAAATTATCACTTGAATACACCTTTTCAATTTTATTATTATTATATTAAGCGAACTTTCAAAAATGCTACCGCACTCGTTCGATACACACTCGACGGCATTTTTGAAGAGTCCGAACAACATATCTAGTTTATTATGGAAATTGACACCAAAGTTGAAAGAGCCTCTAACACGTGAAAGTTTGATATTTATAGACGTGCTCATTGCTTTCAGTTTGAACAATATACATAGTTGAAAAATATATAATTATACTAGGTCTTGAATACATACCAACTCTTGCATTACTGTGATTAAGAGCAATGCGTTTGTAGACATTTCGCCAATTCGGTTTAGCAAAGTGACTCTTAACTCTTGTTCCAGAGACAATATCTACACCATTCTTGGCATGTTGGAGAGACTGAATCATAGCAATAAGAGCAGAACGAGCGTCACCTTCTTCATAAACACTTGTACAATAATTGTGCATCTCTATTACTCCTTTAGGATCCATTTCAGCTATTTCATTCATTATACCTTTGAACCAATCAAATGAACCTTGTTCTCTAGTAACCCAATAGAAGTATGCTCTCTTGCTCTTGAAGTTTCTTTTCTTTTGTGATGTGGCGCTAGGAATATATTCATGTCTATTCTCTAAGTCATTGTTCTCTTCTTTCTCAATGGCTTTCATGTTGTTGACAATGTCTTTAGCAATACTGATCATTGGGGTAGCTCCAATTCCTAGACCTACTAACAGAAGCACCTCATATTTCTTGTAGTCTTGTGCTGGTGCTCCATATGGTCCATCAATTAATACTTTTGGTAAACTGAAATCATTTCACGTACGTGATCATCATTAGTTATATGTATGCTTATAGTTTTACAGTAATAGCAATTGCGAGCAAAGGTAAAATACCAATTGTTAATTCTTGATTCTGGTAGTTTTATTACCAACACAGACAAACCCTTCCAACAAATTTTTTTTTTTTTTTGGAATAAGGAAGAAAAAAAAGATAATATGTTTGGGAGGAAGAACATGCATGTATTCCATTCAAAATATATTTTGCAGTAACTAAACACGTGACTTCTTTATTCTGTCATATCAAACACTAAGATTCTTATCCATTATGATGACGCGAAAAGAACTACTATTCCCTCCGTTCCAATTAGTATGAATTTGCTTGACTGAACACGAAATTTAAAGAAAAAGTGAATATTTTTGGAATTTGTGGTCCTAAACTAGTCAAAAAGGGATTCAGAGTATTTGTATGGTTATAAAAGCTTCTCATTACGAATAGAATTAAAAGTTTAAGCTAAATTATTTCCAAATTTAAAAAGGAATTATTCTTTTTAGAACGAACCAAAAAAGAAATAGGTTCGGAACGGAGGGAATACTAGCTCCATGTTTTTTAAAGTTTTCAACGGTTTTTTAAAAAAGTCAGTAATATATTTAAATATAGTAATATTCCGAATATGATGGCTTTCTCAAAATGAATACGTTAGTGAAAGTGAAGGTTTAACTAATCAATGTGCTCTCTTGGGGGGACTACAAATTCGAAAGAGACTCACTTTTTGTTCTCTCCTTGCAAGCACTCAGCTACTAGGTGTCCGCTTTTCCCAGTTGGCAATGGTTGGCACACCTAATTAATAACATTGACCAATATACTATGATTAAGCTAAATTCGATGATTAACGATTAAATTAGTGAAATATATAGTATACTTACCTCTTTTTAAAAATAAAAAAAGTATGCATTACCTCTGAGAAAACAGCTCTGAGCTTGCTGGTCCAATCACCAAGAGTTCGAATATGGATACTGACATAGTTATCCCCCGGCGCCGAAGTAATAGAAAATGGGTGCCTGATATAAAGTGCGTAGATCACAATATTTAAGTATGCATTTTTTAATTTATGTACGAGGATAGTGTATATGATCAACCTAATCTACCATATTGTAACAAACTAATTAGCATTGTTATCAAGTTATTTGATTGTCATGTAAATATTTTTTTACCCCGTAAGTGCATAAGACATTAAGATAGACAGAAGATTGATTGCCTCCAAAGGTCAGTCCGGTGCACTAAGCTCCTGTTATGCGCGGGATTCGGGAAGAGCCGGACCACAAGGGTCTATTGTACGCAACATTACCTTACATTTCTGCAAGAGACTATTTCGACGACTCGAACCCGTGACCTCCTGATCACATGACAACAACTTTTACATTGCCAAAAAAAACACGCACAAAAAAAAAAAAAACAAGAAGAGGATACATTAGCATAATTAAATGGCCACAAAAGGAAACACGTTTTAGTAATTATTTATTTAGTATCACCTACCATTCAAATGGTGAAACAGCAGCACAGTTGACAAACATGTACTGCCCACTTTTATATTTGAAGCCCTGTGGTTTTGACATATGAAGTGCCAACACATTTCCAGGATACACAGCCACCTAGCACCATATTAAATATACAATGTGAATTTCTCATTTCTCTCAACAACTTTTACTTTCATGAATAATAAAATTATATTCTGTACAAATTTTGGATTAACTTACTTTCAAAATTTTAACATCCTTGATGCTTGACCTGAATGCCCTAAGTAATCTTTCACCAGAATATAATATGATTGGTATAGCCAAGTACATCCATGTCTGCCATTGAGAAACTTAGTCTCATTTTTAGTAATTATACTTCAAGAAATTGGTAGAATAATTCTTATTTTAACTTATATAAACTGCCGGTGTAAGTAACATTTAAACTATCAATATGATTCAACGAGTCACCTTAAGTTACCTGTAACTATCTTTTAACTGATCTAGCCATATCAGTATTCGTTCACTATCAACGTATAAAAATTAAACTCATTAAGAAAATTATTGGTAAAATCTAAAATTCAAAGATGAGTAAACTAACCGTTTTCATGTACCATTCTTTGGTCAAGTAAAGCTTGATACCATGGACAATAAGGAGAGTGTAGACAATGACAAAGAGGTGGTGGGAGTACCAGAAAGCATTGAATCCAGTGAGTTTGTTCAAGGGTCTTGGTAATTTAATTCTATTCCTTCTAAACCATGGAGTTGCTAGAGTGAAAGCAATTGCCATCAAAACCACCATTAGAATCCCACTCAACCCTTCAACTCCCTTCACAAAATGCCAATAGCTTGTTGGCTGATAACCAAAGTATGGCTCCATTGGTTTATACTTTTCTGGGCTAGCCTTTAGTAGCCTTGGAAAATCACAAGTCATGTGAGCAAGTATGTGTATTCCAACACCAATTGCAATTGCCACTGCCATCATCTAATTAACAACAACAACAAAAAAAAAACCAATGAGTTTTCACAAGTGAGGTATGGGGAGGGTAAGATGTACGCAGCCTTACCCCTATATATTCTGAAAGGATAGAAAGAGTGTATTCGATAGACCTTCGACTAAAGTAATGACAACAAGTAGGAACAACAGTAAAATAATAATAAAAAAAGATCGAATCCAAGACTGCCATCATCTAAACAAAACGAAATTAATGAAAAAAGAACCACGTACATGTATAGTACAAAATTTCGGGGAAAAAAATGTTATTCAGTATGCTATTTTACTTTTGTGTAATCTTTCTCACATTGCCGGTCTTAAATCTGAATAAAGGAAGAGAGTTGTGGTAAGTTGACAACCAGCATACCTAGTCCATAATATGTAGGGACTAATATGGGATTGTGACGACATTCAATGAAGTGTTATATAGCTGACTTGAGCTTCCTTGGAATTGAGACATAATTATTGTTGTATATACTATATAGATTGAACAGAAAATTAAAATGAAAATTCGGTGTTCAAAACATCCGCATTCACGCAAGGTTCGGGGAAGGGCCACACCCCAAGGGAATGTGAGGTAGGCCGCCTACCCTGATACAAATATTAGTGGTTGATTCTACGGCTCGAAACCGTGAGCTATAGGTCACGCGAGACAACTTTATCATTCCTCCACGCTCCATTTGAATAGAAAATAAACAAGAGAAAAGTTAGGTTAGCTTACTTTGTGAAAGTAAAGGTTTTCTATATACAATATATAGAAACTTATATTGTGTAAATAAGTCAAAAATTATTTTTTTATGTGTATATTATATTTTAAACTCCCATCGTGAAATTACTGACTTTGCCACTCGGATTCAAGTAGGGTCCGGGAAAATGCCGCACCCCCAAAGGGGTGTGATGTAGGCAGCCTACCCTAACGGCTAACGCAAACATCAGGGTCTAATTCTAGTGCTCAAACCTGTGATCTATAGGTCACACAAGACAACTTTACGCTGCTCTAAGTCCCCCCTTCGACCTTCGGAAAACTGAAAAAGGGGAAAATAAAGAATAGCTTACTTTGTGAAAGTTAAGGTTATCATCAAAGGGAACAGCAGCAGCTAATTTGGTCTTGTTTCGAAGCCAGGTGATAGTATTTCTGCAGACTGGTAGTAAAATCAATGCCATATTGAGCTTAAGTATCTCAGCAGCCCCTTTTGCCATACAAACACAGTGACCCATTACATAAAATGCTGCTCTGTTTCTGTACTGTACATACTTATAAGCAAATAAGCCAACCATTGCTCCAATCCACAATAAAACCACCCAAATTCTCTGCCAATTATCCAGCAAAAAGTAGTTCAAATTCTTATACCATCTTTTTATGGGATTAGGCTCCACTGTTGGCTTAAGCTTCAAACTTAGCATATGACTTAGGTTCCTGTTCAGGCCTTTTCCTCCTTCTGATTGATTTGGAGTTTGTAATAAAAGCATTTCCAAGTTCTCAATCTGTTGATCAGAGCATCACCAATTGAAAAATAATATTTATTTTTAAGTTGAGAATTGAAAGGGTCTTTAGAATTTAACCATAATGTATCCCAAGTTGTCGGGGTCTAACTCTTCCATTATTAATGCTGCGTATTCATCAGCTTGTTTCTGGATATTTGACAGCTTATTAGCAGATGCACTAAGACTAATAATCTGCACAGAAAATGATAGATTTTGTTAATTATAGTGCTAGGGACGAATTCAGATTTGCACTTTGTGGGTTTAGATTCACAGTTTTACCGCATCCCATCTAATTTAATTTAATGAGTTCAAAAATTGTTATTTATACATGGTTAATGATTTTTTAGCAAAATGCAAAGTACGAGAGAAAGCTATGGGTTCAAATGAACCTATTACCTCTACATTGGATACGCCCAATCTGAAAAAAGTTAAAGAAGATGATAGTACAAGAGAACATAAAGAGATCTATGCATTGACCGTGAGTGGATATTATATAGTATCATGTTAAGTTAACCTACCCTAAAAGATAGCTCATCATAATAAGATTGATATCTATTACTATTTAGCTACGTACAGATAGTGTAAAAATTCTATAATATGTCAATAGATCGTATGGAATTCCGTATACCTCTTTGACTTCTTCTTCTGAGATTCTACCATCTGCATTTTTATCAACCCTGCAATACATTCATTATAAATATTAGAGTCAAAGAATTGGTTTACAGCAGTAATGAAACAAATACGCAATATTTAATGTCGTTTTTTTCGATAAATGTCGAATTTTAATCCTTACATGTCAAAGAAGGTTCGAAGCCGAGCATCAAAACATTGATTGGCAATTTGGTCCCAAAACTCTTTGAGCTGTACTTTGCTGATGCAATTACGTGTTATATTTCTCCTCCGAGCTAACGCATCAAAAAGCTCTACTGCAAATTCCTTTGATTCCCTATTCATACCTATTATTGAAAACCCATATTTCTAATTAATTAAACAAGCTCAAACAAATCAAATGTACAAGTAAAAACATGAAATATTATACAAGAAATTATGAAGGAACACATGTATACGTTTTCTTGAGTATAAGTTGAGACTATAATCTTTTGATTCAATTTATATACACCGACAACATTGCACTATCCAGGGGCGAAGCTAGAAGCCCGATAACGGGTTCGGCCGAACCCAGTAACTTTTGCTCAAATAATGTATTTGTGTTAAGAAATTCATTAAATATATACAAATATAAAATTTAGAACCCGGATGTTAGTACTTGAAGTCGTCATTCCATAATCCAGAACTTATAAAATTGAAATCGTGGCTCCGCCTCTGGCACTGGTTACTACTTGTTATTTACTTTATTTTTCATTTAATACCATTTATTGTTATCAGGGGCGAAACTATGCTCTTCTAAAGGTGGTCAATTGACCATCCTTCGTCAAAAAATTATACTATATATATAGGTAAAGTATTACTCCCTCAGTTCTAGTTTATGTGAACCTATTTCCTTTTGGCCCGTTCCAAAAAGAATGTTTCTTTCTAAATTTGAAAATAATTTAGCTTAAACTTCTAACTATACCCTTAATGAGAAACATTTATAACCATACAAACACGCTGAACCCCTTTTGACTTGTTTAGGATCACAAATTCTAAAAGTTTTTTTTTTAAATTCCGTGCTCAGTCAAACAAGTTCACGTAAATTGAAACGGAGGAAGTACTAGATTTTAGAGACATATAACATGTATTGATGGAATTTTTTTTTTCAATCTTTCAGGTTTGAACACGCTTGTTATAGATAACTTAACGCGATAATATAAAATAATTATACTAGAAGTTAAACTCTTGTCCTTTTACCTATGCATTCTCCAAATTTTGCCCGAGGAAGCAAGCCATCTGAGGTGGCACTGAGCTCGTGGAAGCGCTTCTCAACGGCGGCCCATCCAGCGCCGCCATCAGTTTTGCTGATAAATTTGAGGCCTTTGAGAGCATGATGAGCTGCTACTGAATTGGTCCGATCAAATCGCCGAGAAGGATGTGGCTGTTGTTTCTTCAATGTAGCCAAGCGCTTAAGCTCTTGAGCCACCTGCCGCATCCTTATCGAAGTATTCCTAACGACTGAGGTCCCAAAAGATTGTTTCTTCCGTAGATTTTTGGCCAGCCTCAGCACCTGTAGCTCTGCTTCCTCTACATTAGCCCCACTGGCATTTTTGACACTGTGGACTGCCACGGTGTCCTCCCGGACATCGAGGGTGATTTCAACGTACGTGTCATCAGTATATGTGATGGCGTTCGACTGAGTACTATTATCAATATTCTCGATAATATCCCTGTCAGAATTGTGGTCTTCGGTTTTTTGCATTTTCATGTCTTAGAGATATAGTTTCATAAGAAGGAAAAAAAAGGTGGGGGTGGGTAAGAAATGAGCAAAATTGTTTAGATCTCTAAAGACAAGTAGCTCATCAACCCGTTGTTGGATTGGATCGGAGGAAGAAATCCAATTCTTGAAGTGAAAGAAAGGAGCAACACAATAATAAAGAGGAGGTTGATAAACGTATGTAGATCAGAGAAAAATCAAAAAGAAGAAAACAAAAGTTTTGACATGTATGGCCAACAGAGACGGGATGAAATAATGAATAATATGTTTGAAGAGATGGTTATACATGGAGGTTGTGACAAGGAAAATCTTCCTTTAATTTTATTCTTTCAAAATATGTCTTGTTCCTTGCTAGCTAATTGTTACTTAATCTTCCAAGGACCAAGAATGAGTTTTCACTTTTCATGGTAGATAAGCATACAAGGCCGGCGAGCAAGTATTTAAATGTAACTAACAGTGTAGAAATTCCTTTTAGAGAAATTAGATCTACAATACTAATTAATATGCATGTTAATTTTTATATCAAGCGCGACATGATAATATGAAAAATAGAATAATAACTTAATATAGTTAAGTAAATTGATGTGTTAGCGTAAAGATTCTTTACGTATATATACAGCTTATATATATTAATGTATGTCATGTGTATACGTCCAAGGATACATGCCAAGTCTTGTACATCGTTTGTTTTTATACTACTAAAATAAAGTATTGTTTAGTATAATAATATTATATACTCCATTAAACTACCAGATTCATCCTAAACGACAACTAGTATTCAACTGAAGTATCCTTCTTAAAACTATAATGCACTGCAGCATATTCTAAGTGCAACTACTTGGTGAAACTAATTAAACACACACACACACACACTATTTTATGTCTGTATGAGCTTCCTATACAATTAAAATGAAATGAGTCAAATGAAATTTTAGTATTAAGGATTCATATGCATAACTGAAGATCACTCGATTTGTTTGAGATTGAACAGTTGTAGGTGTGAAGTATATATGAATGTTCTTAGACTGTTTCAAACTCTATTATTGTTACAATTATAAGCATATGATAAATATGAATTTTAAGGTATTTAATTTCAAAACAAAAGAGAGCATATTACATATGTTTGGATCTTCTTTGCAAGTTGAAATCCGACATGGCATCTTCCTTGCAACATAAGATGACGAGATAGGAGTGTCATCCATGGCCACTAATCAAGAGACCATAGTCAACTTGTTAATAATTTTAAAAAAAAAAAAGATAATGGGAAAAACGTGGTCATTATTCAATTTCAACTACTACAAGTTTTTTTATTTATTTTTATTTTTGTAAAAAATAATAGAAAAGTAATCTTATATAGCCTCTTTGGCCAAGCTTCTCCAAAATCAAAAAAATACTCTTTTTTCAAAGTTGAAATATTTGCCTAAACTTTTAGAAGAAAAAAGTGCTTTTTCTTAAAAGCAGAAGCATTTTTGGAGAAGCAAAAAATTGTAGCTTCTCCCCAAAAATATTTTTTTTGAAAAGCACTTTTGAGAAAATACACTTAGAAGCACTTTTAAAAGCCTGGTCAAACACTAATTGCTTGTCACGACCCGGAATTCTCACCGTCGGAACTGTGAATGAGCCTAACATTTCACTTTCTAGGCAAGACAACGTTAGAACAATTTGCTTCTTTTAACCGTTTAAATAATGACGTTAATAACGAATTGAAATAACAAATATGTTCTAAGTATAAATGCGGAAACTAAACTAGTCAAACGTCTATTACATTTCCCTGAACCTGGTGCCACAAGTGTGCGAACTTCTAAAGTAATGCATATAAGGGTTTGAAATAAGTACAAAGCTATCTGAATGAAGTTATACAGCTAAAAAGAAAAGAGGATGGGGACTCCAGGAGCTGCGGGCACGGAACAGTCGTACCTCAAGTTTCCGCCGATGTCCAATCCGGGCACGCTAATAACTGACGCTGGAATCGACTCCAAAATCTGCACAGTATGTAGAGTGTAGTATCAGTACAACCGACCTCATGTACTGGTAAGTGACGAGCCTAACCTCGACGAAGTAGTGACAAGGCTAAGGCAGGTCAATTACACTATAACCTGTACCAGTATATAAAAATGATAGGAAGTAGGAATACTGAACAATATTTAAACAGCCGACTGAAATAATAATCACAACATCAAGAATAAACTGGCACCGGCCAGAATCACAAATCTCTCAACAGTTCAAACGAATACCGAAAAACAACACAACTCAAGTAATGTAAACATATAGATTGTTGCGGCGTGCAACCCGATCCCACCAGACAAAACAAATCCTCCCTTATTTCAACGTACCAATATCAACACAGTAAATAATATAAATATGTTGCGGCGCGCAACCCGATCCCACCATATGTCAATATCAGAATCATAATTTACCATTGTTCATATTAATCCACCCTTATTCCACCTGTTGACGCGTGCAACCCGGTCCCACCGTGCAATATGAATTCACCCTTATTCCACCATATCAGCCCATCCTTATTACACCTGCTGCGGGGTGCAACCCGATCCCACCATATCAGTACCAAACACTCACTGTACACAATCAAATCAACAGGTCAAACTACAAGCCTTTACAATCAGTAAATACCAAGCCTAACCAAGGAAACCTTGCACAATATAAAATCCACACAAGTAACACTACACAGCGAGACCAATCCAACAATTTACAATTTGAAGGTGTAAACAAGTCAAGTAAAGAAAATAGTAGGGATTCGTGAAACTATATAAAGAACTAACATCATTAACATGAGAAGACATTGACTAACAGGTAGCAGTTAAGTATGGAAAGCATTTAGAACATATAACAGTTAAGATAGGAAGGAAACAATTAAGGAAAACGGTAAATCAGGGAAAACAGATAATTCGACGGCGTATAGGCACTCGTCACCTTGCATATATACCGCTCACATAAAAATCACATAGCATTTAGTCCTAGGGTTCCTAATTCCCTCAAGTCAAGGTTAGACACAACACTTACCTCGCTCCAAGGACCACTCAAAACTCAACCACAGTTTTGCCTTTCAAACTAGCCTCCAAACCAACAATATCTAGCAAATTACCAACCAAACAATTCAAAAATAAGCCTTAGGAATCACCCACGATATCAAAAATTTGATTTAGATCGTTATTGAAAAAGTCAACACCTAGGCCCGCTTGGTCCAAACCCAAAATTCGGACTAAAATTCGATTACCCATTCACCCCCGAGCCCCGATATATAGTTGGTTTTGGACTCTGACCTCAATTTGAGGTCTAAATCTCCAAATTTCAAAATCCCTAGTTTCTACTAAAAAATTCCCAATTCTATCATGAAAAATATTAGATTTTAAGTTGAAATCTTGTAAAATAAAGTGAAAAATTGAAAGAACCTAGTTTATAATCACTTACCTATGATTTGGGGAAGAAACGGTCTTTGGAAAATCGCCTCTTCTGTTTTAGGTTTTGAAAATTTGAAGAATGGGAGAAAAATCCCATTTAAGTCTCTTTTCATCAGCTGCGGATGTCGTATTTCCGACCTGGGCTTCGCATTAAGAATCACATTTGCGAACCTCTTCTCATTTATTCATAGTTCGCAAATGCTAGAAAATGTTTGTAAATGCGAACACTGGATGACCGCGAATGCGACAGAATCGCCGCAAATGCGACAGAATCGCCGCAAATGCGAAGGCTACTCTCCCAAGACCAACTTCGCAAATGCGAAGTCTGTTTCGCAATTGCGAAACCTGCGTGACCCAGCTCCTCTTCGCATTTGTGATGAAAAGCTCGCAAATGCGAATCTCTCAGAGATCACAATTGCGATGCCTGATCTCGAAAATGTGAGGTCAGAGGCCTACAACAAGATCAGTTATACCAACAAATTTTGCCACGTTCAAATCACTCTGTAGCCTATCCGAAACTCACCCGAGCCCTCGAGGCTCCAAAACAAACATGCACACAAGTCTAAAAACATCATACAGACTTGCCTGTGTGATCAAATCTCCAAAATAACACCTAGAACTACAAATTTAGAACCAAACCAAATGAAATTCTCAAGAACACTATAAAATTTCTATTTTCTCAACCGGATGTACGAATCAAATCAAACCAACTCCGTTTCTTATCTAATTTCACAGACAAGTCATAAATATGGTATTGGATCTATACCGGGTTTCGAAACTAAAATACGGACCCGATATCCAAAAATTCAAACCTTGATCAAACATTTCCATTTTATTAAGCCTTTAACTTTCCAATTTCAACAATTTCATTAAGCAACACTCTCTCTCCGACCATGAATGCAACATCACGGACCTTACAATCAGCATAACTCTTCTACCTGGAGTGAGCTGTGTGAAGTCTATCCTAAATGGCTTAACCTTTTCCAAGGCATCCTGTACCAAATCTGTACCCAATAACCGAGCCTCCCCCAACTCAAACCATCTAAACGGCGATCAACACCATCTACCATATAATGCCTCATAGGGAGCAATCTGGATGATCGACTGATAGCTATTGTTGTAGTCGAACTCCGAAAGCAGTAAGAACTGATCCCATGAGCCTTCAAAGTCAATAACACATGCGCAGAGCATATCCTCCAATATCTTAATAGTATGCTCGGACTGTCCGTCCGTCTGAGGATAAAATGTTGTTCTGAGCTCAACCTGCATGCCCAAGTCACGCTTCACTACCCTCCAGAAATGCGAGCTAAACTACGTACCTCGATCAGAAATGATAGACACGGGCACACCGTGAAGACGAACGATCTCGCAGATATAAATCCCTGCTAACCACTCTGAAGAATAGGTAACTGCCACATAGATGAAATTCGCTGACTTGGTCAGTCTATCCACAATAACACAAACTACATTGAACTTCCTCTAAGTCCATGGGAGTCCAACAACGAAATCCATAGTGATACGCTCCCACTTCCACTCAGTAATCTCTATCTGCTGAAGCAAACCACCAGGTCTTTGATGCTCGTACTTTACTTGCTGACAATTTAGACACTGAGCCGCATATGCCACTATATCTTTCTTCATTCTCCTCCACCAATAATGTTGCCACAAATCCTGATACATCTTGGCGGCGCCCAAATGAATAGAATACCGGTAACTGTGGGCCACTTCTAGAATCAACTCACGAAGTCCATCCACATTAGGCACATAAACATGACCATGCATCCTCAAAACGCCATCATCTCTACCATGTTGCACTGTATCCCTAAGGACAAGAAAATAAGGGTCATCATATTGCCACTCCCTGATGCGCTCAAACAATAAAGACCGAGCGACCGTACAAGCTAGAACACAATTGGGCTCAGAAACATCCAACCTTACGAAATGATTGGCCAAGTCCTGAACATCTAATACAAGCGGACTCTCACCGATTGGAATGTACTCAAGGCTTACCATA